TTGTGCTAGGCACAGTACAAGTAAAGAATGAGTCAGGCAGCCTTTGCTTTTCAAAGTAATGCTGGTTTAAACATGAGTCATGTTTTCTCTTCTGAACTCTTTTAGAAACATCAAAATCCTCACGTAATGATTGTGCAAATCCACAGTGAGTCTTTCAGGCTAACTTCCCTTTGGTCTTCATGTATTTCTAAACATGTCTAAAGCAATTTCTTATTAGGAGAAAAAGTTGTAAAAGTGAAGACTAAAACTGTCAGAAAACATGGCAATCTTATTTTTAGTGGCCATAATTACGTAAATTTGTTGAACAGGGTGAAGTCCACTGTTGCTCAGTGGTGTATGTCAGCAGGACCTTTGAAGGTACTTGGCTTGGTTGTTGAATTCAAAGGATGGAGCATCATCAGCTTTAAATATTCTCGCCTTATATGTGGTGTTGTAGCTTATCTTTTTCTTTACACGCAAAATGCTTCAACTTACAGAATCACTGACGATGGAACAGTAATGTTGCTGTGCTTACTCAATGAATCTTCAAGTCCTGAATTATTTATACTTTGTTTTTCCCATTTTGAACAAAAAGGAGTGTTTTTTTTGTTTGTTTTGGTTTTTTAAAGTTTGCTTTCTTATTTTGTGCCATAGGAAGAAGCATCTATGGAGAAAAGTTTCCAGATGAGAACTTCAAGCTCAAACACTATGGAATTGGATGGGTTAGCATGGCTAATTCTGGCCCAGACACCAACGGATCCCAGTTCTTTATCAGTGTGACAAAGCCTTCCTGGTTAGATGGAAAACATGTAGTATTTGGCAAAGTCCTTGATGGAATGGTAAGCTAAAAGTAGTGGCAAGATTAATAGTGGCAAGATTAATCCAAGAAAATCTGGATGAGCTCTGCCATGTTCTGTCCGTGTTAGTGTAACTTACACTATTGTGGTTCAAAACAATTGAGTGTTTGTCTAATATATACGTGGTGGAAAACGGTTGCGAAGAGCCTGGAGCTGGACGATTTAGAACTGAAATAGAAAATGGGGGCTGCAGAAATAGAAACTTAAATCATGCCTTTGGCTTTCACAGCTCTTGTTTCAGACCGCTAACCACTAAAATCAATGCTGACACCTTTGCAGATTACAAATGGAATAAGTTCAGGTCCCCCTTTCACTAACGCTCTTAGCCATGAAATAATTGTATTTATACAAGCTGGAATCTAATTTTGTAGCATGTGCTAGTTATGGATAACACTTTCACTGGTAGGGTTTTTGGAAGCATGTGAATTAAAGTATACAAACACATATATTCAGATCTGTTTAAAAACTAAAAAAAAAAAAAAATCTAGTTAATTCTCTCAAACTGTATATAGCTGCAAAACTGATCAAAGGCCAAAGAGAAAAAGTTTAAAAGTGGTACTTCCAACTGATTATACTTTTATTAGCCTAGTTTTCCTTTTAAATTATTCCATTGAATCTGTGTTTTGAAGTTAATGGGGGACACATGAACTGCTGCACTGACCAGTTCTTTGAGGAGCTTGAAAACCTTGTCAGAACACTTGTCCCCCACTCCCACATTCATGTTGAATTCAGTTCTCACGAGCTACAGTAGTAGCTGAAGACTTTTGAGAGGAGACTTAGACTAAGTTTTAGTTTAGTTAGATTAATGGACAGATATCCAAAGCCAGGTTGCCAATACTACGAACTGAATTTTGTCCTTTAAAAATACCACTTCAGTTAGTTGCCTAGCGTAAGGCCAGTAGTTCACCTGTACCTGTCTGACTGGAGGGCATGGTACCACACGTAAAATCTGTGTGTGTTTGTTATACTACAGGGAAAAGCAGTCGTCAGATTTCTTGAAGCACAGTTATGCTGTATGATTAGAAAAATAATTACAGCTCATCCTTTTATGATCCCTGGATTCACTTTCTGCTCATAGGCTGCAGATAGATCCTGTACGTGCTAGGTCTATCAGCTGAAAGGATATTTCCATTTGCCCCTTCATAGTATTTTTGTTGGCCAAAAGTTTTTGTAGAAGGGCAAGCAGCCCTCCATATGCTTCTGTGAGCTGTGAGTGGGCTGCAGAGTGGCACAACTGTTCATGTTGGGGGTGGGGGGAAAAGTATGTGGGAACTCAACAGGGTCAAGGTCTTTGTTCAGAAGTTACTTATTAAACAGTAATACTAGGAGCAAGTCGTCTTTTACCTGGTACAGACCTGAGACACTTGAGTTTCCTTGGCTAAACTGAACTCTTTTTTCTCTTCCTTTTTTTTTTTTGTTTGCTTTTTGTTTTGTTTTTAAACAGTCTGTGGTGCACTTGATAGAACTCCAGCAGACAGATGAACATGACCGGCCCCTTCAAGACTGTGTGATTGTGAACAGTGGCAAAATAGCTGTAAAAGAGCCATTTGTAGTTGAAGTTGGCGACTGGTGAGACCAACAGTCAGAATGCAAAGTATCACTTTTTTTAAGGCCTGTTTTTGACAGATCTCAAGTGTCCATTGAGTTTTCTCCTCAAAACATAGGAGGCTATATTTAGACAATACTTACGATTTGCCAAATACATAAAAGATAATTATGGTTTCTGTAACACCTTGGAGCTGTCACTCCTTGAAATTCAAGACATATCCCACTAAATCTGAGATCTTGCAGAAAGAGTTTTTCATGAAAAATTTTACAAGTACTTCTGTTTTTTCAAGGTTTGAAGTACAGTGATTTTGTTTTATTTGGAAATTTTTGCAGTATTTGTTTCTGCCTTTTCAGCTGAAAATATTTTCTGTAACAGTATCAGCATTTTTAAAAATTAAAAAAAAGTAAAATAGAGAAGTGTTTTGAATAAATAAACGTTGATTTCAAATAAATACTTAATGAAGAGCTTTTTTTTATACCCTCCCAAAGGCCTTTCTTCTCGCCTCAGTTGATTCTGCAAAATATGCAGGGAGTGCTGCTTCCCAGGAAATGAGGTTGTAAGGTTAGAGCAGGGACAGCAAATTTACCTCGTCTTAACGTGTCAGGTAAAGGCCTTGCTGTCTTTCAGAAAACCACAGTATTCAGATACAATCCTGTAATGAAGAAAGAGGAGCTCTGTCTATCGTTAAATTTAAGACCATCCATTAGGAACTGATGAAAACTTCGAAGAGTCCTGGTTTTCCATCCAGCACAGTGAATTTTGTAATACCTGGCTAATGTTACTTACGATAAAGCTCAAATGCTTTCTCATGCGGTTTTGCTGTATGTGAGAGATGCAACTTCAGGTTCATTATTTTCGTAACGCTTTTTAAATGACTCTATAAGCTTAGAACTTAACTGGTGGCTTTTAAACAAGGTCAGCGCAAGGTAGCGCTTTGAGAGAGCTGTGTTTGTTAGGTTCTTTAAATAAAGTTACGTAGCAGTCCCCAGGAAAGAGATGTGGACTTTTTCTCTGGAGTTTCCAGTGTTTTAGAACTCAGGATAGAAGAGCTGATGCCAAGGTCTGAGGTAGGATTGATCCACCTGCACAGCAGGCAGCACACCGCTCGTCTTTGTAGTGACCAGTTTCCTAAGGGTGTCCTGGAGCCCATTTGAGGTATCCAGACTTTGAGTCGTGCAGGGGAAGAGTAAGTACTACAGCGCAGAGCTTGTAGGTGCCTGCTGGCACCCCCCTCACAAGGAAACAGGAAAACACGGCAGGCAGGAACATCCCTCAGGTCCTCCTGATGTGTCAGAGGGGTGCATCTGCTGGTTCATTCTCCACAGTCCTGGGCCCTCTCCTGAGGGCAAACACAGACACTTTTCCTCAGAGCTGTGAAAGGACTGCTGTCCTCTTTAAAACAGAGCTAGAGGAGAATTTGCTGAACGCCTCAGAATTTGCCTAGTACTACGCAGTCACACTTCCGTTTTACCTCTGTTCATTTCTCTCTCTACTGGCTGTTCAAAGTAAAATTCTCTGAAAAGCAGCACTGGGAAGCAGTGCTAGGAAGTAAGAGCGAGAACACCTCAGGCTCCCTCGCCCAAACAGCCTTCTGCTAGCAGCTGAAAGCTCTCCTGGAGGTTTATCCCACAGACAGTGTAGAGTGTTCTGCTGCCTGAACAAGTGCTGCAGTCACAGCCTACCTTTTGTACAAGTCCCAGGTTTTTCACTGTTCCCAGGCAACTTTAAAACAGATGTAGCAGTTGGCAGGAGGCAACCTGTGCGTCTCCAGGATTAGACTTCTGCTTGTCTCTAGCTTTACCGCTGCGGCTTTTGTGCAACGCACCCTTCCTCTGAAGAGCCCAGTGACTTACTGGCTGTTCAGTCATGCTGGATTTCTTCCCCCAAGACATACCCTTTTATAAGCCCAGCATGTTCAGAGAGCACGGTGCTGAGAGTTTTAAATGAGCAGACACCCAGTTATGTTCTCATTCTTTATGTGGAGATGCTGGTGAGACCCATCTCTGATGACACAAGCTCAGAGAGGTGTCTTGTTCGATTAGAAACACACAAAAAACACACTGGAGCAGTACGTTCATGTTCTAGTAATTTATCTGGTAATGTCCAGTAGCACATGTACAAATTTCCAGTTAAATCTGAACAAATACATACATATATAAGTGTATATATATATATGTGTATCAGTTTTATCATTTTACTACATAATTGCATTCTTGCATTAGCTTACCACAGAGTTGTCTGCTCTGTGACTTACAAAAGGTTAAGATGTGGAATACAGTCTGCAAGTTGACTTGAAGAGTAAACATACACACAGATTGGATGTCATAACTGAATGGAGACGCATAAATGCCACGTAAAATCTCCTGGTAGATAAAATCATTTCAACTGAAATCTAGAAAATTTCCTGAGAGAGCGCTATGTGTTTCAGAATGTGGAAGCATGTTTTCCAATAGAAACTCTCCATACACTTGCATTGGCTCTTTTCCAACCTGATATTATGGAGCAGATTAAAAATAATTTAAGAAAAATGAATAAAATACTTTAAGTTGCTTTCAATTCCTTCTTGCTTTATTTTTTTTTTTAATTGGCAATTTCTCACACGTTCTCTTCAGTGCCAGCACTTTCAATCTATCCACTGCCAGCAATGGGTAATGCGCTGGGAAAAATCCTGGTGCAAAAAAGTTTAGTGTGATTGTAATAGAAATTACAGAAATAATTAGAAAAGCTTTCAATTCTTTTTAAAGGTTAGTGTAATTCAGTGTATGACTTTCAGCTTTTAGTGTTAAATAGGTAGAGCATGTTAATATAGAGAAGGTATAAATAACTTCAATACTGTTGTTTCCATATTTTTTTTTAAAAGCAGCAATTGTAGTGACATTGATTTTATTTAAAAAGAGAGAATGCTTGAACTAAAACTGAGGTTGTGCCTCTCGCTTCTGAGCGTAATTTTCACATGACAGAATTTTATTCCTGTTAATTCCATTAACCATGACTCAGGGACTTGCTTCAGCTTCTTCTAGCCACGCATCACTTCTACCTGGGCAGTAAATGAGGATAAAATATTCCATGTAGAATGCCTTCTATAACTACGTTTGGAAAGTCATCTGAAAAAAAAAGGAAAAAAAAGAAAAAACTTTGGTTTCTTATCTATGTCAGTACAATATAAATGCTTTTGTGAAACTTAACTAGGTGAGGCCTCCTATAATTTGGGTTCCTGCATCACTCAACTGTTTATCCGTGTTGGGGATGTGCTATTAGTAATGCTGTTTCAGCACTAAAGCCACTTTATTAGTGTAGCGCTGGGCATTGCATGAATGCGCTGCCAGATTTGTAGCTTATTGATTTAAAGGGATGTTCTAATACTTAATGCTGCTAGGCTCCAGCTCTTTATCTGAATCTTTTCTCACAAGGAAGATGGATTACACTGGCAATTCAATTTCTAACAAAATCTCAATATACTTGAAGGAATTCCAAGATTGCTACTGGGAATACTTCAAAGCTGTTTTTCCGTTGTGGTTTACAGCAATGTTTAGACTGAGAAGATTTGAAGATGCCCGTACAATCACAGATGATTATTTGAGGCAGGAAAATTTCAGGCTGTCTCTAATCAACATAAAGCGTCACGTGTTATAAACTGTAAGTCATCCTATAATACCTAAAGGAAAAACCCTCCACTATGTTCTCACCACAGACGTAGAGGAAACACGCTTAATTTTCATGTTAAATTCAGCATTGAAACAATTACCTGATAGAATACAGCAACAGATCCACACAGAGGCGTGGCAGGATGTACATTACTGAAGGGAAAATATTTTTCAAATGCACCGACTCCTGCATTTTTCATGAAGGGTTTGCTTAAATCACGGGGCATTAAGAGTAAGAATCTCTGATCACGTTTCACGATCTTAAAGTTGCTAGTACACTAGGAAATGGGTTTGCCTAGAAGAACAGGCTGTTTCTGATACAGAACTTTCCACACTAATCCAGTCCTTCCTTCACCTATCAGCCTAAAGGATATTCAAAAAGAGGAGATGCAACTTTTATAAAAATCAGTAGGTACTTGACAAATTAGATCACCTAATACGGGTGGGAATTAGGTTTTGCCCCTAATTCTTTTGCTAAAATCATTTTGGAGGTGAAAATTTTGAGCAAAAAGTAGATTTGGACTTGGTAAGAAAAAAAGCAATCCTTGTTAGCTTAAAGGTGTTACCTCATAGGTATTAATAAGGTGATTCCAGTGTATTACAGATGTTACAGAGATATTTCCGGATGTTTTAATGAACTGCAGCCTCCATCATAAACAATACAGGCATAACTACCCCTTGCTTCTCATAGTAAGTCACCATTATAAATTACTTGCTAATATTTTGAATCCAATAATGATTCCTCAAGTCCTGCAAGCTCAGCTGTCCCAAATCACCCTGGTAGAATAATCCCATGCTGTTGTCATTAACGTTATTAAAAATACACTTGTAAGGGCAATCTGATGCTTGCCTTCTAAATTAAATGCTGCAGTTCCAAAAACCAGTTTTTACTGGTTCTTCGATAACATGCAGCATACATAGGAAAAAGAGTATTGACTAAAAAATGATACAACTTTACAGCATCAGATTTACTGTGAGGCTTTGTTGCTTAAAAATATAAAGTATTTTATTTAAGTGAAGTGTATAAATACACTGAAGCACAGTCGTGCAGATCGGTGATACTTGCATGGCTTAAGGAATCGGCAGAACAATTCTCAAACAAGTCACAGTAAATCTGAGATTGCATTTTTTAGCTTCTGAGGTGTCATTTTTGGTTTGCAGCATTTTAGATTTTTCCTTCAGTTTTCTTCAAAATAGTACATAACTTCCCCCCCCGCCCCCCAACCCCTCCAAAAGAAGTGGCCATCTTACACAAAAAGTGATGTTGCTCATGCACTCAGACTCTCTTGGATACATCACGAAAAAGTGAGTCTGAAAATCAGTGAGGTTTGTAACTATCAATCTTATTTTTGGAAAGTTGTCTTGTAACAATAAGAAATTCTACACAATTTCTTATTTTACAGGATGATGTTAACACAGACGTTCCTGTATCCAGGAACGACTAACTCCACTTCTGATCCAAACAACTGTCATAGTTCACCTTCTTCAAAGAGTACGAACAATGAATAGTTACTTCCTAAGGGACACTTTTAGTCATAGTTTGAGCAGCCTTGGCTGCTTTTTACAAAGGAATCAGAGTACATTGAAGTGAGAACTGATCTGAGAGAGAAAATTCTAGAAAGCTCATCTGTAATTTCTCCTTGCTGCAAACGGAAAACCAAGAAGAAGAATTAAAGGCAATGGTAGTTGTGCAAAAACTTGTTTCTTTCTAACCAGACTGGAGTCAACTAGTAGAGCCTTTAGACTTATGACTTGGTTTTCTTCTTCCCTTTTTAAACTACAACTCGCATTCTAATTTGTGTTTTAATTCATTAAGTTAAAGAATAACTTGAAAATGAATTTGATGGTTTAGGGTCTTCAAACACAAAGAATATTCACCTGCCCTATTCCAAATATTGTGTGTCAAGGCCAAAAAATGCCTTGGTGAAAAGTCCTTTGTTTCAATGTCATTAATGAGGCCTACTTAATATTTAGACATGTCGTGTTGGAAGAGGCTTTTATCTTAATCCAAGTAAAGCACTACTTAAAGAATAGGTACAATATTCATTATAAAGTTCCTAATGGTTTCAAGAAAAGGAAGCTTAGCCTTACTCGGAACATACAGTAGGGAAGGAAGATGAATACTTTCACAGAACTGCAAAACCTGGAATACAAGTCTTACAAGAAAACCTTACATGTGGGCTGGAAACATTAAGCACTGACTTCGTTTTTCAGGATAACTGTATATGAAATCCGTTTTCTCTCTCAGGAACAGTATGGAATTAAACGATGTCCATAATTTACATCCTGCGCTCGAGGAATCCAAATTTGCAATTCAGAGGAACATTAAACAGTGACATGGAGACACACAATGTGGTTCACTCTAAATATGACTACAGGCAGCATCTGGGCCAACTTTTAGACACAGGTAACTCCGTGTGTGCCTCTGCCCACTGCTGTTGTCACTTGGGTCAGGAGTAACCTTGTGAGGTGACCATCTCCCCTTACCGTGCTTTGGTTCAACAACCCTGTGATTTGCACTCCGGCCTCAAACGGGCATTCAGTCCACGTGACCAGACTACTGCTAAGTCAAAGTGAAAAAAAAAATGACCCTGTGATGTGTCTTCCAATGTGGACCTTGGTCACGCAGGACCTCTGCACTTGCTGTGTCACTGTAGAACTACAACTTTAAGTTCAGTAAGACTCCATAGGGTCAATACTGTTGGGCCACACTACCAGCTAGAGTGGATATTACTTGCAAGAGAGGCTATTTAACCCTCCCAAAATTTGTAAACCCAGTCCCTATGGTTTTGAAGAACAACTTGAAAAAACAAAGAGAATGGATGCAGCTGGAAGAGATGTCTGGTAGTTATCTGGTCCAACCCCCTGCTCAAGCATGGACACCTACAGCACGTTGCCCCGGACCATGTCCAAATGGCTTCTGAGCGTCTTCAAGGATGGAGACTTCACCACCTCTCTAGACAATCTGTTCCAGTGCTCAGTCATCCTCAGAGAGACAAAATGTTTCCTGATGTTGCCATGGGGCACCACTGAAAAGACCCTGGCTTTGTCTTCTTTACATCCTCCCTTCAGGTTTTCATATGTATCTTGAGAAAATCTCAAGGAAATACACTTCTTTGTCTAAGAAACTAAAGCAAACAAGTGTACTTTCCTAAATTTACTCTTAAAAATTTCATTATTTTCAAGGCAGCTCAAGAACTTGACTCTTGATTCCAACACAGTATTTTGTAAAATCAAACAAAATGCCACATTAAAAAAAAAAACAAACTTAATTTGCAGCTCTGGAAGAAAATTCTCCCTTGAAAGTGTATTACATTTTTAATACAAAATTTAGTAGAAGTAACAGTTCAAACAAGTAAAATGACAAAACCAGGAGGAACACACAACTAAATATGGTATTTTTTTTCCTGCACACATTTAATTTAAGACAGAGGGCAAGTTCTCTAAATTAATAATGCAAATAATTTTTTATTTTTAGAAAGGGGTCATAGCTAGCTATTTGAAAACTCGTTTGAACCATATATTAAAAGATGAAGCTAATGTAAATGTCCTGTGAAATGCATCAATCATACTTAAAGTATAACTTCTCTCCCCCCACCCCCCAAAAAAAAAGCTCTAGCGGTTATAAATGGTAAGAAACAGTAATAATCCAAATGGAAATACAAACATGCTCGCAGTAGATTGACTGGTGTTTAGGGAAAAAGCGCTTACAAAGGACTGAGCCTCTAAGTTCAAATCCTTCAGGCAAAACAGCCCAAAGGGTCAACAAGAAGAAAAGAAAAGCAATGTTCTTCGTCTTTTGATTTGAATTCTCAGCAGGTTTGTCTGCGAGAACAACTGGGGGAGAAAATTCCGCCCTTTTATAAATCACCCACCCCACTTCGTGTTTTAATGGTTTCTTACAGAAGAACTATCGTTTTATTGGCAGGATATTAGATTTTGGACTAGTGTCATTCGACTAGGCCAGTATTAATAATAACGTGGTTTATGCGGTGCAGGGTCAGATCAGTAAAGCGCTGTTAACGGATGACAGGTTTGATTACCGTTGGCTTTAGGCAAGACATATGGATCCCTTAGGAACAGCAGCACAGGCTGGTGGGACAGTTTGCTGGAAAGGTCAAGAACAGGGATGTCAGTATCAAGGGACAGCAAGCAGAATATTCTACAAACTAGCTTTGATAAAGTGAGGTGGCCGAGCCATGCAGGAGCCACGCCGGTGCGTTTCGGCACACCAGCGCTGCCCAAAAAGGGCAGGCTCTATCTCCTGGGAGCAAAGCTCACCACTCCCCAGCCACACAGTGAAAGCACCAACGTGAAGTTGGAGGTGAAGGGGCTGCAACCCCAGGAGAAGCAGCTTGCAGCTGGCTTTGAGACCTCCTGATCCAGCTCTGCTCCCTGGTGCTTGCAATGTAGGCTACAAGATCACCTACCACCAGGCTCCAGGGTCTATAGGCTCTTCAGGCCACCAGACAGACTCAAAACTTCACCACTTTCTTTCAGCCCCCGAAGTGATTGCTGTACACCTCACCCCTGGAGAGAAGGTCCTTGGAAGCCCCACCACATAGGGCTGCCTCCGACCCTGGTCACATTACAGGCGTCCTCCCTCAGCCAGCGCCAGCCCTCTCCCCTCTGCTCTGCACATACACGTGCCAAGCAGCGCAACCAGGTACATACAAAGCTCTGTGAAATGCATAGGGGGGAAGCCAAACCTCTAATTCCTTCTGCTAAATCTTCTTGCTATGAAAAATACGCGTCACTGGGTAAGAAACATTCCCAGAAATATTTCAGAGCTAGCAATATTCCATTAGGGTTTTGTAAGGAATTTCTCAATACAAGCATAATGATGCTCCGTTCACACTGCAAATGGATGGATCTAGCGCAGCTGATGAAAGTAGCCATAATATTTAACAAACTAATTTTAATGCTAACTACTGCTATTTTGTCAAGCAAGGAACAAATACAATAAATGCCCATAATTTCAAGTAGTTTATTAACCTAGTGTCTCTCTAGGAAGAGTAGGAATCAAGCTCACCTTGATTCTTCAGATTCTGTTTCATCAAAAGAGCTGCAAGTAAAGTGAGAGGAAACTTTTGTTACAACAATATTAACTCTACAATAAAAAAAAACAAACAACCAAATCCTTTAAGAGCCATCAAAGGGAGCAGCCTTCCTCTGGTCAGCAGCTGCATACCGCAGTGCGATGAAATGAATGCGGGAGCTCGAATCCCTTTACAACAACCACTGCTTGGAAACGACAGCGTTTTACTCTAACAGACAGGTTCACAAGCACATCATGAAGCGACGGGGTACAGTCCTACTGAGGGTATTGGCTGCTGTCATTAACTACAAGTGAAAACTACAAGTCTGTTAGCTTCTGAAGCACTCTGGAGACTGCCCTGAGCCACAGACACCTCCGAGCGTAAGACGGCCTCAAAAATTATCTCCACTTTTTTCAACTCACCTCCTCTCCACTGCGATCCGCAACGGAAAAGGGCCACATAGCTTTCAGGGGAGCAAGTTCTGGTTACGCTGCTGGACCTTCCAGCTACGCAAGCTTGCATGGCAAAATAAATTATTCTCCCTACAAACCTTGGTTGGACGAGGCTTTGAGCAACCTGGTCTAGTGGAAGGTGTCCCTGCCCATGGCAGGAGGGTTGGAACTAGATGATCTTTAAAGTTCCTTCCAACCCAAACCATTCTATGATTCTATGATTCTGATAGCTGCAGATGGCAGCAGAGCTTCCAGTTACACGGTTTTGGGTATTTCTGTAGTCATTACACTCATCATAATCATACTAAGATTCCCTTCTCCCACCCTGATCTAGAACCCTTCCCAGAGAAAGGGCAATGGGGTCACTGGCGTAGATGTCATCAGAAAGGTGAAAGACCTCATTTTCAAACACACAGAGGGAGATCATAAAATGATCACAGAATGAACTTCTACTTTGTCCAGATGCTATGACCATAAAACATACGCAAAGGCTCTTTATGCAACTTTAGTGAGTGTTTATGAATATCTGACAAACTCTATTTCAGTAGATACTTCAAGATCTATGAGAAAATCATATTTTTCTCATCTAAACTCTCCTTTGCTTTCCAAGAATATTACATTAAACCTCACTTCTGTCTTTGAACAGGCTGGATTTATTTTACCACCTTTTGGGGATATATAAACATACTTAACATGAACCTAATGCCCATTTATTTTACAGCGTTAGAGCTGGCAGCAAGACCATTTTAAGTCAATGGAATTGCATCAGCACTGAGTGGATATGAGCCTTTTGGCCTCCATGTATTCTTCAGTAAATGGGAGCTTACCCACAGCTTTCTGCTTTTGGCAAGGCAGGTACATGGCGAACATTCAGGAAATCAAGAAATATTTTAGGGAGCTCTTCGTTTTCTAAAATGACTGTCTGAAAGAAAAAAAAGCACAATAGAAACCCATGATTTTTTAATATTTTAGATATCACACACTTTTATTCAAGCTAGCAAAACATTTTCCACTTGCAACACTTTTCAGTTCTTCTCTATTTTTTTACACCTATTTTGGAGTGCTTCATTTCAATAGGAAAACCACAGTTCTTAATGAATCACATGTAAGTATATTCAGCTTACGCTACTACATTCTTTTTCACCTGCCATCACTGGTGCCAAGCTAGATGCCTCTCAAGCAGAGACGTCTGGTTCTGGAACTAAGTTATTGGCACACTCGTTTGTGAATAAAATTCTGTTTATTTAAAACATAAAATAAAGCAGCTACAGCTCAGTGCTTTTGCATTCACCTCACAGAAGACTCCTGTCTGGCACATCAGTGGAAACAGGAAGTCTCCACTTTGTGCAATTTTATTAATGCATGCCTTGGTAAACGCTAACAAGGAAAACTCTTTGCTTGGCTTGACAGATCAGCTTACAACATACTCCTTGTATCTTCACTGTAACTCTTAATGACAAAGCTCTGACCCAGGAGCTGCTGGCTAGACCTGCCCCATTCTTCCACAGCAGTGACATAATGGCCAGACTCCATCCTCCTTTGTCTTGCCATTGATAAGATGATTTACAATTTTCAGTAAATTAATTACAAGTACACTTAAAAATATGTAGCAAACAAATGAGATGCTTAGGTGCATGTTCATCATGAAAGAGTGACACTTAAAGGAAAGGAAGATAGATCTCTGATGGTTTCACAGAAGCAGACCAAAAATAATTGGTGATCTTTAATTTTCACGAGACAAACAAAACAGTTAATAAATTCAACCAGTGTCTCACCTGAAAGACTAAGCTCCTATTTATTTACTGTTCATACTGCCATATGTTCTGATAACACACGTACTCCACAGGTAAATGAAAGCAACAAGCTCTTCCCTAAAAAGCTTTCCTTTATAAAGGCCTGGATCCAGAGTGGATCCTGGAAGAAACTTCACTAGATTTATAAACAAAACGACTTGTGCAAGTAAAGCTATCCACGTTCATCCTGTTCGTTTTCACATCCTGTGTTAGGAGAAACGAAACCTAGAGAAGAAACAAGACTGTGATGGGAAGAAAAATTACTCTGCTTACATTCAGGAGGTAACTTATTCCTGCGTGTGTACATTACAATATCACTAGGGAGACACAGTGGTATGTAGAGGAGAAAAGGATCATAAAAAAATTAAGTTGGAAGATACATCTAGAGGTCGTCTAGATTTTATAGCTGGCTTTATAGCAAATCATTTGGTTATTTGTGTAACGAAAACCCAGTTAGTTTAAAATGTACAAGATGTGCAGAGGTTTAAAGAGAGAAACACATTTGAAAACCAAGATTTTTGACAACTGGGTTTTTTTTTCATGTTATATTTGCAAATCTGAATTCAGAGTCTACGTTTCTTCAATAGCTGAGGCCATCACAAGTTTGAAAAAAGAACGGGGAAAAATGCAGCTTTTGAACTTTTCTGTTCTAGATTTTAACGGATGCAACAAACGCAAGTCTGAAATGTTGGCAAGTGTTCAGCCTTTCAGTTCACCTCTACATGAAGATGCTGCATTAAAAAATGCCACTTCATTTGCATACTGCAAAATCAGCACTCTGCTGCTGCAAAATTTATCCTGTTCTGCATTCAGGTTATGCACAGAAGGAGGGGTGGAGGTGGATCCATATTCAGAGGGTGTGTGAACAGCATAACAATGCGTATGATTTGCTCAAATACAACCATCTTACTAATTATATGCAATGAAGAACTGCAAAAAGTTGCATAAAGATGTTTAAGGGCATCCAATGCTTATGAGCAATCTCATAGTCACGTATCTTGACAGCTTTTTCCAAAAGTTGAGCTGCCTGCTGAAGCTGCTGAAGAGAACAGTGATTGTCAGTGAAGAAGAGAAGGATACATCACCGTATAAAAGGAAAACTGCCGGCAGCTCTTACAAACCTATTTGTTTCTACTTTCGCTCACTCCAGGTTAATATCTCATTCTGTTTCTTTTAGGTTTTTTTCATGACATGCATCAAGTCAACCCAAGACCTGCTAACCCTGCCCTGACCAAATATATTTCACAAGATGTAAGCAAATAGCATCTGGTTTAGTGTGTTAATCCATATAGTTTGCTAACTGCCAAGAACTCCGCTTTGGTGATCAATAAACTTGAAAATCTAAAATTTGCAGAGAAGCAAAGGCAATTCTGCACTGCACTGTGTTTTGGATGCCACTTCTGTTGATTGGGAATTTTGTCATTTCCAGAATTTTATGAAGGGAGGAATGACTGCATTGAACACAGGACGATTTTTCTACTGATGTAATGTGACATACATTTTAAAGAATTGAAAAACAAATGAAGGTACAAGTTAATTATGCTAATAGGGGAGCAAATTATCTTCTGGCCTGACTTCATTGGCTTTGATACAAAAAGGGCCATCACATAATCCAGACGTTAAATATACATGGTAGAAACCAAAGGAAAGAGAAAAAAAATTGAGAACAGCAAAAAAAAGGCCAGCCACACTGGATTAGGTGTGTCTGTCTAGCTGCTTCTCCTACCTCTGGCGGTGGCTCAAAGTGGATGTCAAGAGAAGAATGCAAGCTTTCTCAACTTCCTATTTAAATTGTTCAAAGACCCCCTCTTAAATCAGAAATAAATGTTTTCAGAATTGTCCCGATTTACCTAGAATAACCCATACGACAACAGATTTTTGACTTCTGATAGAAAACTTGTAAGAAATACATATTTTGCAGACTTGATGATCTTTCAATAATAGCTGAGCAGAAAAGGAACCAGCAGGTAGAGTCTCTAAATCACTGTCTATAATTTCAAGGCTATAATCTCAACTGTAGCCTTTTTCAAGTGAATGTATGACATTGGTTTGTAAACATGACTACTGCCTTGTTTGCTGTGCAATCAGAAACGTAAAGATACATATTTTCAAAGAAATAAAATCTCACAATTAGCTTGTTAGTAATGTGAATTTTTAATACATCCAAATTCTACCACAATCAGAAAAATGAGTTTCAAATATGGGCCCCAGAGTGCTGAGTAGACTAATTTAAGAAAAAAATGGCAGGTGTTATTTCCTTCCCCAAATAAATTTAGAAAATCCTCAAAACTAAACCACCTAACACAACCTCTGGCAAGTGATTTGGGAAGTGACTCCAGAAATAAATTGTTTAAACTCATTGATTTCAGCTGAACCAAGAGTATAAGCGCCATATTTTCTTAGAAAATCGTAAAGGGTGTTTATCTGTTACTGTCACACTTTAATGAACTACTCTGCGCTTCAGGAAAAAAAAAAAAGCAACACAAGGGAAAGCCTGATGTTTACATCAGCAGAAATGTCTTTTTCATCGAAAGAGTGCAATTATTATTATGTAGCACAAATCACAAAAATCCCAATTTTTCTACCTTATCAGTTTCATAAAATCATGTTCCCTAAGGATGTCATTGATTAGTTGCACATGTTCTTTCAGTGACATCTGAAATACTTAATTGTCGGTTATCTTTTCTCCTTCAGCAAGTAAAATATAGTCACAAAATTGCAGAGGGACTTGTTCTGCCTTAACCTTAGCTAGATGCCATCATGCAGTGGAAAACAGTGCTAAAATATCACAGGATAATGCTCTCCAACAAGGGAGACATATAAACAGCATAATGATTTCCCACGAGTTTCCTTTTTAGAAAATTGTCACTAAAGCCAGGGTAAATGGTGACATATCTTCACAGAGGACACTGTGAAATCGAACACTGGCATTCTAGTTAGGTCCAAACCTACTCATCAGCCAATTATAACAGTAACTGAACATCTTGCTGAAAACCCGAACAAGACCACTTTGCTAACCTTAGGAGATCATGCCACAGGAATGCAACGTTTTCACAGATTTTTATTGTATTATTGTTGGTTTTAATGAAAAAAGATTTAACAATTAATTTCTTACAATCATCTATCATACGTTCTCAAGGTTACTGGAACAGCTGTTGGAGGGGAGAAATGAGGGTGGGGAACTGAGGTACAAGGTTTTTAGGAGTCTTTACAGTCTTTTCCATTCAATCGAGTCTAGTCTGAAATGCTGTACAGTTAGGGTGAAAAAGTTCATGACAGTTTTTCCTCTCTTCACAGGGAAAGATGCTTCACAATACCTAATTCAGTGGTGCAGCTAAAATGGGGGAGAAGAAAATCAATACATTCCAGCTACAGTAAGTAGGCTGGAGTGTCAGTCTCCGCTGGGACCAAAACCCACATCTTTTAGAACACTTTAGAGTCTATATTCTTCTATTAACCTGCTTTTCCTGAACTCCTTTACACAGTCCCATGAAATGATAAAAAGGTTACCAAAAGAACAAATTAACTAAAAACCAAGTAGACTAAAGAACCAGGCTTCTAAGAGCAAGCTTTCCTTTTTTCTCTTTTTTTTTTTAAAGTAATAGCAGATAAAAAAATGTTTTATATTACCCATTGTGAAGAACTATGAAGAAACTCACTCCCTTCTTCAGTGAGGATGTTGTTACAGGTTATCACTAAATAAGTTAGTCACTTAAGTTATTGTAGTAAGGACTCTCCACTTTACATTACTACCAGAAACACTCACTGATAGGCAGTTTTGTAAGAATAGGAGGAGGTTATCAAACAGGCTTAAAACTCTGTATAAGGATACAAGAAACATGCAAACGCACACACAACGACACAAAAGTGATGGTCCATATGAAGTACCAGCTAGCTAACACTCCCAGACTGCACATCAAAGAGAAGTCAGCAATAAAAGCAACATCTACACTGGAGCTTGAAAGGGAACAAGATACTGACTGTAGGTATTACAGGCCAAAATAATTCCAAAAAGATCCCTAAGTTACTATCTGAACATTAATGTAAAGTCACAAAAGAAAAAAAAAAACAAACCTGCGCAGACGGGAATTGCACCTCTGAACCTCAAGACTAGAGAATAGTAGAAAAA